TTTAGATACAGCTTCAGGGGTTGGAGAGATGGCTCAGTGAATAAGAGCACTGGCTGCTCTTCTAGAGGACCCAGGTTCGATTCCCAGCACCCACATGGTAGCTCACACCTGCCTGTTCCAGGGGATCTCACACCCTCACACAGACATACATGCAGGCAAAACATAAAACAAAACAAAACAAAAAACCCAGAAAACCCTAGATACAGCTTCAGTGTGTTATCAATCTACCTTCAATGTCAACAGAGTATATGAATGTTTTTGTTAATTTTAGAATAGATTTTGGGCTCACCTGTGACATTTGGAAGTACAAAAGAACTTCACCGAAGAAGCGTTGTTCTAATGGAAAAATGAGGGCAAAGAAATTAAATCTCCTTTAAGAAAACCACTTACTTAAAAAACATAGCTTACATTTTTTAAGCGTTTTATCTCTGCTTTCTCCTCTTGTTCTTTCCTTCGTTTCTTTTCCTGGAGAATTTCATCTAACGTTTTCACTTTCCAAGAGTCCTTTTCATCACCCATTTGAGTTAAAACACTGCAAAAAGAAAAATAATTCAAGCCACCTCGGGACACAGAAAATTCTGAACACTTAAGTCTAATCATTAGTGTTTCAGAATAAGTCCCGGAAGTCCAGGTAAGTGGGAAGGATTCGGCCTTAACATAATTTTTCTGTCATTCCTGTACGGTTTTGGGCAACTCAGTTTACCTCGGTTCATTCCGTAAAACGCAATCATCATCATCCACGTAATGGTACTGTTCTAGGATGAAAGACCATCCAGGTCAAAGCTCTTATTCAGTGCCTCGCACTCAACAAACTCTGCCTTAGGTGTCAAAAGGTTGTATGAGAAAGCTCCAGGATGCGGGGAGGCCTGGGTGACAGGTAAGACCAAGGTGTACTGTCAAACACTGGACCCCAGGATGGGGTCACGTAAGCCCGAGGCAGGGGCTGGCTCCGGGCAGCGCCAGGGTCTGCCGCCTCCGCTGCCCTTAGTCTTGTGTGGAGCAAGGCGGTGCGCGGCAGCGATGTGTCCCTAGCCCCAATTCTTCAGGCGAAACAGTCAACCTACATCCGACCTCCCGCCACCACTCACCCCTGCGCCGCTGCCGCCGCCGCCGCCGCCACCGTCGGTCCTGGAGTCTGAGAAGAAACAGCGCCCGGCGCGCGGCAGGTTCGTCGCCACTTCCTCTGTGGACGCGTGCTGATTACGTCGGGGTGACGCGGGGCGGGCCGCGCGTGGCCTCCATTTTATTGCCCCCCCATAGTACCCTGCGCACACCGGAAGTGCCCCTACTCCCTGAGTTGGTTCCTGCTAATGACGCGCGACTGAGAGACTGCGGGCAAACTAGCCTCTGGCCCGGCCCTGGGTGTCTCTAGTGGATGACGTGGTTCGGGACGACCCGCCCAGGCGTCGTTTTGGATTTGGACAGGGATGAGCCGTCGATGGGGAAATCCACGCCACGTTGGCGGGCAGGACTGACTACCGTCAGGCACTCGGTGGATCGGCGACAGGCTAAACAGCCTTTCCGCTCGCGACATGCTGCTCGAGCTTCCACAGCTAGACATTTGCTTCTACCTGACAGACTTATCGGAGGCCTTTGGTTCGGGCTAAGCCGTGCCAAGCCCCCAGAGTGGAGGCACATTAGAGGGTCATTCCGTCACTTGGACCTATTTGATCTACCTGACTCAGGAAGCCGAATTCCCAGAGAGGCTTGTTACATCTGTCATGATGAGGAAGCCCCCTGTTCAAGAAAATAACATGGAAAGGAATCCAGTTTCCTCAACCCTTTTGTCTTTAAAACCAACCTCTTCAGCGTGGCCTATTGAAGTGATTGGGTGTTTTGTTGTTACTGTTTTGCTATGAGACCAAGTCTCATATGTAGACCTAGCCTCGAACTGAGAGGTCCTCCTGTGTGTACCACCATCTTCTGTGTTCTTTTGTTTTCTGTTCATTCTAATTGCAGAATCACAAAACTAATTAATATCTCCAAATTGTAATTTTGCCTTGACATGCTGAAACAGGGCAGGTAGAGGTTTACAGTGAGATTTTAAAGTGGACATTATGGCAGTACTTCTCAAAGGTGTTTACTTAAACCAACTGGATATCGTGAAGGGTCCTACAATTCCACTAAAAGCCTATCAGAGCTTATGAAAGGGAGAGCAGAAATAAAAATTCCTTCAGCATGTCTTTGTCAGGTTATCCTGTGGGATTTGAAAAAAAAAAAAAAAAAAGCAAATCGTGAGTTCAAGGCCAGCCTTGTCTTCATTGTGAGTCCCAGGATAGCCAGGGCTACACAGAGAAACCTTATCTAGAAACTGCCCCCCCCAAAGTTACACAAAGAAAACTAGTACATATTTCACATTTATTTTCTTTTACAAGAACTATTGGTGGCTTGGATAAAAGGGATGAGGAGGCTTTCACAATACCAATTTATTACATGACTCACTGAATTATTTAACAGAATTCTAGGAGGCATTAATATAATCACTGAAATACTGAAATAGGTTAAATACAAAACATTTTATACATTTTATGATGCATTTTAGTTCCCTCATTGTTTGGTGCAAAACAAATATGACTTGGCTTTGATGTAGACAATTACCAAGATAGTATCAAGTTTCTTTTGATGTGGGACTTACCACCTTAAACTATGGCCTTTTCCAAAGTGCCAACACTGCTTGAACAAATAGAGATTCACAACAATCTTCAAATCCAGACATTACAAATGAATTTAATGCAGTTTGAGTCCCAGAAATGGAATCTAAAGACAAAGCAAAGAGGAACCACACACACACACACACACACACACACACACAATCTGCCAATTGGATTGGTTTCAAACTAAACTGGAACATGGATCCAACACCCACCTAACTCAAGATTCGAGCCCCCAAGAAAACTGGAAAACATACTCAGGAGAAACCGAAGTTAAAACCTACTATACTCTGAATTGTAGATGGTACTGTCTGTCCATAATTAGCATGACCTTAAGGTTCTGTTGTAATTCATGCAGACAGCCAAGACATTTATCAACTAAGAAAACAGACTGGGGGTATAGCTCAGACAAGAGCAAGAGCATTCCTAGTATTCCTGAAGCCCTGAGTTCTAGCCCTAACCAAAAACAAAACAAAACAAAACAAAAACAAAAACAAACAAACAAACAAAAAAAAACAGGGAGAGGAAGAGGCCCTCATAGGTAGGCCATATATTTCTGTGTTGAGGGAAAAACAGCAGTTTCTCAGGGGCAAGAGAATTGAAAAAACCAGGGGTGGTGACTCATGCTTGTAATGTCAGTACTAAGAAGGCTCAAGTAGAAGGATGTAGAGTTCAAGGATTACAAGGACAATATGGCTTACGAAGAGAAACTCAACTCAGAACTGGCATGGTTTCACATCTCTAGTAACACCTCTGTTTACTCTTTTCCAATGTTAGGAAATGCTTGCAGGTTCTAGACGTCACTCGGAGAGTGAATGCATTTACAGTCTCCACTGAGCAAGGTGGTATCTAGAAAGCAGGGTCACAGAGGAGCCAGGTGGTGTCTATAGAGAGCAGGTTACAGCAGAGCAAGGTGGTGGTGTACAGAGCAGGTCACTGAGCCACTTGTGTTGTGAAGCTTTAAAGGAACAAAGTTTACTTGACTGATTCCCTGGTGTAGCTTTTATTGTCTTTCATCTCCTCTGATTCATTGTTTCTACGTTTCTCAAATTAGAAACACATTTTGGATTGCACAAAGTACTCTCAACTTCCCAGGCAGACAGTTATGGTGCTGATATGCAAGAAATTACAAAGATCAGAAAAAAATGTTTTTTTTGTTGTTTTGAAACAGGGTTGCAATATGTAGCCAAAATTGGTCTTGAAATCACTATGTAGCCTAATGCCTCCTCAGGACTATGATTACAGTCAGTGCCACCACGCCCAACTTTAAAAACAAACAAAACAAAACATCTTCTGTGGTTTTTAGTGGTGTAAGTTTTGGGGGTTTGTTGTCTCCCCTTCATCCCTTTATCCCATGTGTGCTGCTGGGGACCAACCCAAGGGCCTCACAATGCATAACAGTGATGTACCACTAAGCTACACCCCAAAGCCATGGAAGTTTTGCGCGCGCACACGTGTGGACACATGGGTATGTATGTGCATGGGAGTACAGATGCCCAAAGAAGCTAGAGGCATCAAAATCCCTAAAGGTGGAGTTCCAGGCACTTGTGAGGCACCTTACATGTGTTTGGGGAACTGAACATGGGTCCTCAGCAAGGGTACTACTAGTTCTTAACCATTCTTAACCAGTAAGTCATCTCTCCAGCCCCTAGAAGTGTTTTGAAATTAGAAATCTGTATATTTCTTCTTCTTCTTTTTTCGGAGACAGGGTTTCTCTGTGTAATTTTGGTGCCTGTCCTGGATCTCAAGCTGTAGACCAGGCTGGCCTTGAACTCACAGAGATCCACCTAGCTCTGCCTCCCAAGTGCTGGGATTAAAGGTGTGCACCACCACTCAGCTTCCAGAAATCTATATATTTTGCGCCGGGTGGTGGCAGCGGCGGTGGCTGCTGTGCGCACGCCTTTAATCCCAGCACTCGGGAGGCAGAGGCAGGTGGATCTCTGTGAGATCGAGGCCAGCCTGGGCTATAAAGTAAGTTCCAGGACAGGCTCCAAAGCTACACAGAGAAACCCTGTCTCAAAAAACCCAAAATAAAATAAAATAAAATAAGATGGGGGTGATAAAGAAAGACAACCAACTTCAACCACGTGCACATTTCCTGCATATGTATGTATGTACTTACAAATACATACAACCCCATATGCCGTCCCGCAAAGATTTTTGAAATTCCAGTTTTTAGACAGATTACTGGTTGTTTCACCTATCTAACATTTTTAGACGCCTGTGGCCAAGACCATCT